GGGTCTTATGCTAATAATTCTTGACACAACCTGTACTTGTCTATTTGGGGATTTACATGTCTGTAAATTCTTGAGTCTAAAGGACTCTAGCAGAGTGTAAACTGCAGTGAAGTTCTTCCACAAGGCAGGACTGTGTTTGTTGTGTGGGGCTCTTGACACTGACCTTACCCCCAGTGCATCCTTGCAGATGAGGCTCTTGCTTTGTCAATGGTGTAAAGGTCTTGTGTCCTCTTAGCTCTGCTGTACCAGTAAGCAGTGGCTTAATTAGTAGTGTCTGGAGGGTTGATTTGACCAGAATAGAGTAGTTTTCAAAAGGGAAAGAATTGTTAAAGAGAGCGAGTGAAGTGTGGCAGGATGGGACCATGTGCGGCAGATGGGCTCTGGTTTGCTAAGGTCCTTAGATGACTGGTAAGCTGCTTTTCTTGCCAAACAAGGAAATTCTGTGATTTACCCATTGTATAACCTTTATATATATCCAAATCAGTAGTCTAGCCTTCTGCTTTACTGTCTCCTCCTCCTCTTTTCCTGTCTTCTCTTTCCTTCCTTCACATGTTTCCTACCTTTTGTTCCTTTGTTCTCTTCCTTTAAGCCTCTGGAAAAACCTATTATTTAAGTTAGCTATTGGAAAAGTTCCACCCATTGTGTGTTTTTATGAGCTGGAATCTCTCTGTACCTACCCTGGCTCTTCTGGAACTTGCGTGTAGCTAGGCTAGCCTTAGACTCACAAAGATCATCCTACCTCTGCTTACTAAATGCCGGTGTAGTTTATGTGAGCAGTGTACCCAATCTGAGTTCCCCTTATTTTAGAATGATTAGTCTGTATAGTTTAAAGATAACAAATACCAAGACCTCTAATCATGTGGGAAAAAAATCTGAATACAGACTAGTAAAGATTAGGACAGATCAAAATAAACAGTGGTCTGTGAATTACGTAATAGTATAAAATGCATTGGTATTTCTTGCCTAAAATACTTAGACATTTGTACACACACCTTCCAGTATTTATTGCTTTATTCATTATAGCTAGGAATTGGAACCAGTCTAGTTGTTTATCAACAGGTGTAAATGGATAATGAAAATCTGGTACATACATAATGTGGATTGCTATGTATTAATTAAGGCCACACAATCTCAGAAAGAAGGAATCCACATGTTCCCTCATTCAGTTCCTAACCTGTGATGTGTATATGCATATATACATAATGCACATATGGGTATAACACATAGGAGATCAAGAAGGGTTAAGTATGTGATGAGGTGACGAGAAAGGATGGAACCCAAGTAGTGGGCACATGAGTTGCTAGAAAGCTAATTTTTTTTCTAGTTTTAACTGTGATGAATTTTTTGTTTTTTTGTGTGATGAATAAGTACATAAAAATATAATAGATTGTTAAAGTGTAAATCCAGAGTGAATCAAAGTGTAAATCCAAAGTGAATCTCATATCTTCAGCATGTCTGCTCTAACTCTGCTCATTGAGATGGGTAGACTTCAGGTCATTCTAATCTTTCTGTGCAATATCTTTTATTTACGAGTTCTTTATAATAAAATGTTACTAATAACAGCTCAGAAATATATACGTAAAAGTATTTCACATTTGTTTGTTATGAGTTCTCACTGTGTGATCCTGGCTGATCTATTACTTGCTGTGTTACTAAGGTTCACTTCCAACTTGTGCCAATTCTTCTGCCTCAGCCTCATACATGAGTGCTGGGATCACAGGCATGAGCCAGCAGCATTCCTGGTACCATTTTACTGTTTTAAGTGTGTAGTTGACAGTTTTGTATAGTCATCACCACTGTTCTAGAACATTTTAGATTTACCATCTTAAATAGAAACTGTCCATTAAACCACAACTTCTAGCCCCTGGTAACTCCTGTTCTACTACTTGTCTTTATGAATTTTCTCTCTTCTAGGCTTGTGATGTAAGTGGAGTCATCAATTGTCCTTTTATATTAGACTTATTTCACTTCACATACTGTTTTCATGGTTTGTTGTAGCATCTGTTAGAACTGCGTTCATCTTTATGGTCGAACAATATTCTGTTGTGTGTCCATGCATGGCTATTTCAGTTGTTTTCACCTCTTGGCTCATGTGTTTAATGCTACGCTGAATGTGGGAATACACATCTGTTTGGATTTTGCTGTTTAAATCAAGAGTAGAGTTGATGGATCATGTGATAATCCTTTAACCTTTTTGAGGAATTGCTAGATTCTCCCTTACCATCTGTATCATTCTACATCTCTACCAGCAAGCAGTTCATGAGGGTTCTCTTCAACACTTGTTATTTTTAATTTTTTTTTAGATAATAGCTATACTATTGGGTGTGACAAAAATTTAAAAACATTGTTCTGGTGATGTTGGATGACTCAGAAAGTAATTTACTACTTACTGTGAGGATCTATTTTCAAGTTACTAAAAGGAGTCAGTGGCCTAAACTAAGGCAATAAAGGAATTCTGACTGTTGTGTATAGTATCTGTTTACTTATTTATAAGATATTTCATTTATAAAGAGGGTTCTGTGTGTATATGTGTGTGTTTCTTGTTTCTTTCCTTATCTTGAGAGAGAGAGAGAGAGAGAGGGAGGGAGGGAGGGAGAGACAGAGAGAGGGAAGGGAGGGAGGGAGAGAGAGGGGGAGAGAGGGGGAGAGAGAGAGAGAGAGAGAGAGAGAGAGAGAGAGAGAGAGAGAGATATTGAGAGATTGAGAGATATTGAGAGAGAGATTGAGATTGATTTATTATGTAGTCCAGATTAGCCTGGAATTTGAGCAATGATCCCTCTGCCTCAATCCCCAAGAGCTGGGATTATTGGCATGAGCCACCGTGCTTCCAGTAGTCTATAAAGAGGCTTCTATATTTCTTGATGTGACAAGGGTGTATGCCAAAACTCAGGAGCAGAGGGTCTGGGGGCTTACCAATCAACTCTTGGATTTGCTTTTGAAGTCACTTATGATGAATAGTTTGCAGAGCACTAGGAATAAACTTTTGTAAGCTGACTTTTGACTGTGTGTACTATCTTGCTTTAGCTGTTGCCTTGTCTAACATAGCCTTAGCATATGTTCATAGAACGAAAAACCTGAGAGCAGGAACAGGACTATGAAAGAGACTGGAACTATCTTCTCATTGTACTGTTGTTGCTTAGCATTTACTGACCCCACCTCCCTGCCTCAGAGCTGGCTCTCTGGTGCCTAATTGGTAACAATACCTAGGAAATGTTGCTGAATATTTTTTTAAAGGGAAGCACAAAAACTCTATTGGCAAATATTCTGATGGTCCAGTTTTGTCTCCTCTGATAAACACAACTGTCCTGAGAACTGGTAAGCCAGTGTACTGTGAGCAAAAGGCGGGGTGACTGGGAAACTTGAACTTCTTCCTTGTTTGTATTTTATCTGGAAAAACTAGTCTTTGGGGGCAGGAGGAATGTTTCATGAACAATTTTAGGAAATGGCATGTGCTGTGTTCAGATCTTGAGATTTACAATGTACAGCAGCTCCTTAAAATTCTGAGGAGTCCTGCAGTGATGGCAGTAGGTAGTTTTATTCAGTGTTTTCCAAACCATAACAGTCCTTTGGTTGAGTAACTATACCTTGTACCAAATATTTTTAGTCATATTTTGGAAAATTATAACTCTTGTGTCTGATCTATTTCGATATCAAAAATTTGAATATTTTTGAGTACTATAAAGTATAAAGGTTCCCTTGAGTGCAAGGTGTTAGACCTTCCCTTAGTGTTATTCTGCCATCTTTTAAGTACCTGGCCTTTTCAAGACTCAGCAGATACAAATGTCCCATTTGTAAATGCTGGTCATTAGAGGGTACAATTTTAGAGCAGTGTCTTATTATGGGAGATGCTATGTGATGGTAAATGCTATTACCTTTTTCTTTTCTTCCACTCTTGTTACACAATTAAAGAAAAATAACTCAAATCACAGGTCTAACTGGTAAGACATTTATTTTATTTTATTTTAAGGTCTTTTGCTATGTAGTCTTGGCAGGTCTGGAACTCACTATGTAGACATACTGGCTTTGAATTCAAAAGAAATCTGCCTACCTGTCTCCTAAGAGTTGCTATTTAAAAAAAGAAAAAAGAAAAAAAAAGAAAGAGTTGGTATTAAAGCTGTATGCACTCGGCCCTTTGAATTTTTTAGAAATGTATTGTTGTGTATGCTATGTATGTGTCTGTGCATGCCGGAGTGTATATGTGGATGTTGAAGGACAACTTTGTGTATTCACTTCTCTCCAACTTTTATGTGGGTTCTGAGAATGGAGCTCAGGCTTGAGAAGCAAGTGCCTTTGCCCTCTGAACTGTCTGGTTAGCCCTTTAATTAGTCCTTAAAGTTACCTTACAAAGTAATGGGTCTCGTTACACCACCTTTGTACATATGTGTAATTATAATTTATTCATCCATTTTTCCCCCCATTGCTCTACCCCATTCCTGCCTCTATATAGTCCCTTTACTGCTTTCATGTCATGTTTTCCATTGCCTTTTCTTCTTACCTCCCTGTGAGCTAGAGTTTTGCTGTGTATACCTTCCAGGCTAGCTTTGAATTCTCACACTCTGCTGCAGGTTTTCTGGGTATCTGGCATTGCAGACATGACATCTCACCAATTAGGTGCTTTCTTTTCCTTTCCTTTTTTCTCTTTTCTTTTTTGTTCTTGTTTTCTTTTTCCTTTTAGAAATGACCCAATGCTGTGTAATGTGCAAGTGAAAATTGTGACTGGTTGAGTTGCCCTTTTCTGGCTGCTCTGTTAGGCCAGGCTGTTAGGATAGCAACAACCAGTAAGTATTTATTAACTAGGATTTTATTTCTTTCCACATTTTCAAACCCTGGTGCTTGTAATGGTAAGTTTCAGGTTTTAGAAAGTAACAGCCCCAAATTAAGCTGATGTAGACTACCAGGATTTTACTAGTTCATTTGAGTGAGTGGCATGGCATGAAGGAGTTGTCTTCTTGGAACTAAATATTTGGTCTGGAAAAGATGACATGACTTTCTTCCCACAGGAATCAAGTGGGAAGATCAGAGTAGGACTAGGCTGGATACCTGTAGGGCCTCATCAGGAGGTTACCTGAGCTAAAGCTTGTTTGTCAGGTGTGTGCATAATCTTTTCTCTTTTTGGACCAGTGATTCCCAACCTTCCTAATGCTGCATGCAACCTTTTAATAAAGTTTCTCGTTTTATGGTGACTCCTAGCCGTAAAATTATTTTTGATGCTACTTTAAAATTGTAATTTTACTACTATTAGGAGCTGTAATATAAATGCTTTTAGATCTTTGACAAAGACCAAAGGAATCAAAACCCACAAGTTTAGAACCACTGCTTTAGACTGTTAGACTGGGCTGAAAGGCATTGTTGACTCTGTTTCTAGGCCTACTCTGCCACTGTTTCCTCAGCTGGACTAGTATAAGTAGGAGTTAGAGAGCCAGCTATGGAAGGGCCAGCAGCCATCCAGGAAATAAATACAAATGGCTGTCAATTCATTAGCCTAATTAAGTGAACAATTAAGAGTTCCTTCTCCATTCTCATTTGTTCAAGCAATCAATCTTTGAAATCAGAGCAGTGTACCACTCTTATCCTCTAATCTACTGAATTCGAGAACTGCAAAAGGCAGTTCAACTTAAGGAGTGATGCCTTTTTTTTTTCTTTTTAAAGATGTGACATTGTGTCTGGACCTAATGAGAACAAGACCAGGACACTGGTTCTTAGCCCCTATAAAGTCCAGGAGAGCATATTAAAGTGCTCTGCTGAGCTCCACTTGTCCAGTGTATGTTCTGGTGGTGAGATTAGGGTCTGAGATTCTGTATTTCTAATGCATCCAGGTTGATGATGTTGGTTCTAAGATCATAACTCAAGAATCACTTTTTGGTGAGGATGCAGGTAGCTTTTCATTTTTTTTTTCCATTAAGGTCTGCATAGGCAAGGAAAGAAAGCCTCCACCTCTTTAAGGACCCCATGCCAGGTGATTACAGTCAGCTTAACCCAACCCTTGGAAATACTGTGCAAGGTAGTTCTTGTTCCACTTACCATATGAATGCCATTAAAAATGAAGTAGCTTTTTTCTTTTGTTGGGAGCACTTCATGAGGGAACTTGACTGGGCTGCAAGTAGAGAGCTCCTTGCAGCCTAAAACAGTAATTTTTAAGGGACAGCTTTTATGTATATATAAATCAAAGGATGATGTTGATGAATTTACCGATATTATGTTTGATGTTGAGGATATGTTAAATTCTCTTCCTGTTTATTCATGACAGTTGTATAGTTATATGATCTATACACTGTAGATCACTTTTACAGTCAATGATTATTCAGTTGAATGGTAAGATTTATTTCTTCACTACAGTGATAAAGGGAATGAAAACTTGACTTTATAATTAATATATCTTTCAAATCACAGAAAAGATGAGAATATATTAAAGATTTTTTTAAAAGATTGTTACTGATTTATTTGTTTACTTATCTTTTAGCCTAGACTGGCCTAAAACTTGTTTTGTAGCTCAGGGTAGCCCAGCCTTGTGATCTGCCTATCTAATCTCCAGAATGCTGCCCCACACCCACTAAAGGTGCATGCCATTGTTTTCAGTTGCTAGTTGGTTATTGACAAGCCTTATTTCAGAAATAAATAATGTTAAAGGGTATATTTCAGAACAGTAGATATTGCAGCATGACAAAATTCTTGAAAATTCAACTATAAAACTTATTTAAAGCACAGTGTTCTTTATTAATGTTCATTTGAAAGGTCAACTTGTTTTCAGTGGAGCTCAGTGAAGTTACTTTCTGTTATTTGACAGAACCGCAAATTTATTTTTTTAAAAAAGTGGTGACCCAAGCAGTTGAACTGAAGGTATTCTGGGAAAATCTGCTGTTTATTGTGAAAATCATCTTTGATCTTGGAATTAAAAGTAAAGCTGGAAAGGAATTTACAAACAAGAAAAAGAAGAAGTTTGGAATTGGACTCACAGGATCTGGGCTTGGAAATGCCTCAGGTAAATCACATGGGAATAGTGTACAGTGTGATTCTCTGTGGTGATAAAAAGGGCACGGTGTTGTTGCTGGAAGCCTTCTGCATCTTAACACAGCTTGGCACACTAGCTTCAAAGACAGCTTATTTCTGCCCTCGCCTAGTGTGAGTATGTGCTCCTTGTTTTCCTTATTTGCTGTAGCCTTGAAGATTTCAATGAGCTTGACACAAGCAGCATGGTGGGTAAGTAGGTTAGTTACTAAACCTGCTGGCTTTCTGAGGACAGAATGAATTACTCAGAAATTTAATCTGCCACCCAAATCCCATTTTTGATATTCTGATATTTTGCTTCCCAACTTTCCTATTTACAACAGTTGATAAGTGGTGATTTTGTCTCACACATAGAAGCACACACACCTGTATGTTCTGTAAACACCTCCAAGAGTGGTATATTCATATTCTTATCCCCAGCCTGTGTGTGTGCATGTGTGCGTGTGTATTTAGCGCTTTCTTTCTCTTGACCTGGTTTTGCAGTGTAGGTGTAGCTGGCTTCAAGTTCACAATCTTCCTGCCCTGGCCCTGAAGATGTTGGAATTATAGGCATACAGTAGTACCACATCTCACTCTGTAGACCAGGCTGGCCTCAAACTCAGAAATCCGCCTGCCTCTGCCTCCCAAGTGCTGGGATTAAAGGCATGCGCCACCACTGCCCAGCTTGTCCCCATTTTCTTATCCAGACTTTCCCCTATTTCTATTCATGGTTAATTTTCATTTAGGACATACCCCTCCCCCAGTTCAAGTACTGGGAAGAAATCTAAAAATAATGAGCAGGTAGAGACTCCTAAGTGGGATCATACACCACAATCAATCCCTAGGGCACAGGGATAAAACAAAACAAAACAGGATGGCTTGGTGACTTTGCAGCAGAGGCTAACAAGGAAGACATGGTAACTGACACTTAAAGGACCAGAAGCCACTTCTGTCTCAACCTCTGTGCCAAAGATCCACATACAAGGTGTGGTCTGCTGTCTGTTGACTGCTTGAATTAGGACTCTAAAACTTGTTTACTTAAGCTAGATTTTTGTGAAAATAAAGACCTCAAAGTTTTGGAGGGTCTGGCAAAAATCAAACAAAACTAGCACATGTGATGTGAGAGTACCTAGGAGAACGGAGAAGGCAGGTCAGGGTAGGAAGTGAGGAGGGGTGTAAGTAGAAAGTAAGTGGGTAGGCAACTGTACCTTATAAAACTCTTGAAACTTGTGGGAGAGTAAGAGAAATGTTTTTAGTTTCTGCAGTTAGATTTCAGAGTGTGGCTTTTATTTAAGCCAGGGTGTGCTGCTGAAGTGGTTTGGATAGGTGATGAAATATAAAAGAGAGAGAGGCAAACAGGAGAGCAAGTCTGTATTTCTAGCCATGTCTTAGAGACGTTAGGAGGCTATTGTGTTGTTCCTGTTGGTAGTACTGAATACCTAAATTGGGCTGGCAAGATAGCTCAATGGATAAAGAAAGGCTCTTGCCACAGATCATGATTGGCATGAGTTCAGTCTCCTAGACACTCATGATGGAAAGAGAAAACTGATGTCAGCAAGTTGTCCTGTAACTTCCCCTTCCCCCCCCCCCAAAAAAAAAAGAAACATAAAAAAAGATACCCAGATGTTCTTTGTTTGGGGAAGTAAGACATTGGACTTAGGAATATAGTTTAGGTCTGACTTAATATTGCAGTAGCCCTCAGAAAACAGGAGGGCATTCTCTTCTTTAGGGGAATTAGAAAAGAGTTTTGTTACAGGAGTATTTTAAGAAATGTTTATATAGCTTAAAAAATAAAGAGCCCAGTGTTGTATGCTGACTCTAGTGACCAAACTTCAAATTTTAGAAGTTGTTAAGATCTACTGTTCTGATATTTTTTTATCTGTTCTAATTTTTTTATATACATCTTAGCTCTTTTCTTCATAGAGGTCCATGTTCAGTGCTAGGAAAGCTCTTGGTGTGCTACACAAAAGAGACAGGGCTATTTCTCCAAATAAATTATGTGCTGGGGTAAGGATGGGCTTACGTGTAGTAAGTTGGGCTTGAAGCTGTCTGTAAATGAAATGTGAAAATGGTTTTGTTGTAGCCCAGCGTAAGCGGAATGGACCCGCCTTTTGGGGATGCCTTTCGAAGCCACACCTTTTCAGAACAGACTCTGATGAGCACAGATCTCTTAGCCAACAGTTCTGATCCAGATTTCATGTATGAGCTGGTAAGCATCACTTTTTTTTGTTTTAATTTTAATTGATTTGAATCAAAATGACGTAGAGTTTTTATTTATAAATGTCTGAAAAGAGAAACAAATGTCCATGATGTGGAGCCTCACACAGGTAAAACCATTACCCACGGGGCTGAGGAAGGAGGATCGTGAGGGGCCACATAGATCTGGTTTTAAGAATAGGGTCATGACTAGGGCCCGGGTTTGATTCTTGTGACTTAAGTCTGGTGATTTTAGAAAGATACCCAAATTGATGACAGTAGTATATGAAGAGATTATCTGTCCAGTTCTCCGTGAGGAAAGTAAGCTGTGTGTGTGATACAGTCAACTGCTAATGGGCTTCTTAGCTCACAGAGGAAGGAGGGATACATGCACAAGGTGTATATAGAGATGGTAAGACACATTTGCAACTATAAGCAATGTCATAGGGTATTGACTTGTTTTCTGAGGTAGACAAAAAGTTCCCAAGGTAAAAAATAACACTTTATTTTGTGTGCAGGGATAGTTTACGTGCACATGTCTGTGCACTACATGTATGTAGTACCCACAGAGGCCAAAAGAATGTATGTGATCCTGTGGCACTAGGTAGTTGTGAGCCACCAAGTGGGTGCTAGGAATGGAAGCCATGGCCTCTGCAAGAGCATCAAATGTTCTTAACCTCTGCCATCTCTGGAATCCCACTCCTTTTTGGTTTGTTTGTTTGTTTGTTTGTTTAGGCAGGATCTCACTTGTAGCTTTGGCTGGCCTGGAACTTGATATATAGACTAGACTGGCCTGAAACCTCACAGCTACCTGCCTACTTCTGCCTCATGAGTGCTTGGATTAAAGGTTTTTGCCACCTTGACTAGCCCAAGGGTTGGGGGTGGGGAACTTATATTTTTAACTGTACACATGAGTGAAGGTGCCCAAAGAGACCAGAGGTGTCACATATCCCTGGAGCTGGGAGTTAAAGCTGGTTTTGAGCTTCCAGACAACAGTGCTGGGAACCTAGCTTGGGTTCTTTAAAAAGTCAGTAAGTGCTCTTAACTGCTGAGCCATTTTTGTAGCCCCCAATATAATTTTAATCACGTTATTTAAATATCACAGAAATGCTAAAAATTTGTAAAGTTGAGTATATCAGCCTGTGAGTTCATTAAAAATCATTGAATTCTATACCTAATAAAAGTAGGATATGGTATATAAACTACTAAAGTGAAGCTACTCACACAGACACATACACAAACTAAAAATTCATTGGAACGAAGTAAACTGTAAAACTGAGAACTCATTCCTTTTTTGAGCCTTCACTCTTCAGATTTTCCCCAAAAGGTAACTACTGCTAGCAGATATAGATGAATTTGAATATGCCTTTTACTTTGGATGCATGATATATAGTTTGCTCCCCGCTCCACCCCACATTTATTTAGTCTGTGTGTATGTGTCTGCACACATGTCACAGTGTATATGTTTAAGTCAGAGGGTAACTGAGACTGGTTCCCTCCTTGTATCATATGGGTCCCAGGGGTTGGACTGAGGTGGTCAGGCTTGTCATTAAGCCTTTACCCACTGAGCTTTCTCTTCAACTGGAGTTTGCTTTTTCTGAACAAAAAATATGTGATGGACAACCTTCTGTGTTAGTGTGTTAGTGTGTTAGGACTCAACTTCATTTGCCATGGCTATATAGTATAACTACCTTTTTTTTTTTTTTTTTTTTTTTTTCTGAGACAGGGTTTCTCTGTGTAGCCTTGGCTGTCCTGGAACTCTCTCTGTAGACCAGGCTGGCCTTGAACTCAGAAATCCACCTGCCTCTGCCTCCCAAGTACTGGGATTAAAGGCATGCGCCACCACTGCTCGGCTGTATAACTACCTTTTATTTATTTTATTTTTGAGACAGGGTTTTACAGTGAAACTCTGGCTGTCCTGAAACTTGCTATGTAGATCAGGCTGGCCTCATACTCACAGAGATCATCCTGCTTCTGCCTTCTGAGTGGATTAAAGATGTGTGTCACCACTCCAGGCCTTTTTTTTTTTTTTTTTTTTTTTTTTAAGGCTGAAGCAGCTTTATTTTTTCCCAATCTGCTTTTATATCATTCTAGGTACATCTAAAAAACATGGTCAGTTCTTAGATCAAAAACAAAATAATCAAGCAAAGCGGTAAACAAAGCCCCATGGTCACTGTTTCTATTATTTTTTTTAATTTTTAATTTTTTTTATTAAATCATAATTTTTATTCACACAGGAGGTTATAAACACAAAAAGGCAGGACATGGGGAAGGGGAAGACACTGGAACGTAGGTGTTCAGGGGGAGTACAGATACCTTTTAGAACAGCGTATTGGCTAGGTGAAGATTCAGGGGACAGGTCACTATGACTCTGCCTATGATTCACTTGTCCTTATCTAAGTTGGTACTATCCACCAAGGCTACCTATTCACAAGGTCTATGACTGCTCAGGCTGGTAAATTTCCACAAAAGCTGCCTATTTTCAATAGCTTATAGCCATCTGTTTCAGTGTTTTTCCACAGAGACCCAGGACTTTGTGTTAGCATGCATCTATGTCAGGCCTATTGCTGATTTTAGGCCTATGGTTGATTTTAGGCCTTCAGTGTATAAGCAGGGCTGCCCCTGACATCTCCTCCCTTCTCTAAGTATAGAAGATCTGTGGTGATTCTAATCTTGTGAAGGCGGGGATAGAGGCCTGACCTCCAGTTATTGAAGGGGACCTTGTAATGGCTCCAGTCCAGGCCTTTTACTACATTATAAAATCACATTTTTGCAGTGCATGAGGATTATTTGACTTACCATGCCAAGAATTGTTACCTAGGTCTTATCTAAGTCCTAACAATTTTACAATTAACTTTTAGCATTCTCTGGGCTCTTTGTCTCCGTATATAATTTACTCCTTAAGTGGAAAGTGTGATGAAGTCTTCAATATTTCTTACTAAAGAATGCCTCTAAGGGCTTTGATGTTTAGGCCCATACTTTAGCCTCTCAAAAAAAGTTATCTTCCCACTTTTCTTGCCAATGAAATAAAGGTATATAGATATAAATAAGCAGAAGGTATCATTTCAGTAGCCTTTCTCTTAAAACAGACCAGAGGTAGAGTATTTATTTGGGCATTTACAGGTATGGGTGGAGGTGAATATTTTCTTCCTAAAGCATGGTATGTGACTTCCCGTTTTAAACCTTCCTTAGGATAGAGAGATGAATTATCAACAGAATCCTAGAGACAACTTCCTTTCTTTGGAAGACTGCAAAGACATTGAAAATCTGGAAACTTTCACAGATGTCCTGGACAATGAGGATGCTTTAACTTCAAACTGGGAACAGTGGGATACATACTGTGAAGACTTAACTAAGTACACCAAACTAACCAGCTGTGACATCTGGGGGACGAAAGAAGTGGATTACCTGGGTCTTGATGACTTTTCTAGCCCTTACCAAGATGAAGAGGTCATCAGTAAAACTCCAACCTTGGCCCAGCTCAATAGTGAGGACTCTCAGTCTGTTTCTGATTCCCTTTATTATCCTGACTCACTCTTCAGTGTCAAACAAAATCCCTTGCCCCCCTCTTCTTTTCCTAGTAAAAAGATCACAAGTAGAGCAGCTGCCCCTGTGTGTTCTTCAAAGACACTTCAGGCTGAGGTCCCATTGTCAGACTGTGTCCAAAAAGCAAGCAAACCTACTTCAAGCACACAGATCATGGTGAAGACCAACATGTATCATAATGAAAAGGTGAATTTTCATGTTGAATGTAAAGACTATGTAAAAAAAGCAAAAGTCAAGATCAACCCTGTGCAACAGGGCTGGCCCTTGCTGAGCCAGGTCCACATAGATGCTGCAAAGGAGAACACTTGTTACTGTGGAGCTGTGGCAAAGAGACAGGAGAGAAGGGGGTTGGAGCCTCATCAGGGTCATGGCACTCCTGCTTTGCCTTTCAGAGAAACCCAGGAACTATTACTTAGTCCTCTGCCCCAGGGTGGTCCTGGGTTGGTTGCCATAGCAGAGAGTGGCAGCCTTTCTGCCAGCACTTCTGTTTCAGATTCATCCCAGAAAAAAGAAGAGCACAATTATTCTCTTTTTATCTCTGACAACATGAGAGAACACCCAACCAAATACAGTCCTGAATATGATGAGGATGATGAAGATGATATTGATGATGAAGACCATGATGAAGGGTTTGGCAGTGAGCATGAGCTTTCTGAAAATGAAGAGGAGGAAGAAGAGGAAGAGGATTATGAGGATGACAGAGATGATGATATCAGCGACACTTTCTCTGAACCAGGTATAACTCTTGGAGCCTACTAAATTGACCTTTCTATTCACTGTTTGAAATAGGAAGCTTTTATTTGGATGGCTGCTATATTCTAACTTGGGGGTTAAATAAATAAATAAATAACTTAAAGTCTTTATTTGGATTAAAAGTAGCTTTCTTCTAGCCACATGATTCTAAAACCGTTATTTGAGCTTATGATCATTTGTGCCTATGTCATAGTTTATCTTGATTCTCTGAGGGCTTTTTTTTTTTAATCTATTTTGTCACTCTCTTGAGCACTTAAGTAAAGACTCCAAGAGTATGTTGTTTTAAAACAGGTTGCCCTGTTTTGCGTGTGCCCCTCTACTGTGACTAAGATAGGTGTATATAGAATAGAGTCAAGTGGTGTCAACTCATGTCACTCTTGCTCATAGTTAACAAAAGCCTACTCAGTCAACAGTTTGAAGATAAGTGTTTTCTTTGTGTCTGCTGTATTAAGAAAATATATATTATGCTAGATATGTTACATGCTTATAATACCAACACTTGAAGGCGGATGTAGCCAGGCGGTGGTGGTGCACGCCTTTAATCCCAGCACTTGGGAGGCAGAGGCAGGCGGATTTCTGAGTTCGAGAGTTCGAGGCCAGCCTGGTCTACAGAGTGAGTTCCAGGACAGCCCGGGCTACACAGAGAAACCCTGTCTCGAAAAACAAAAAACAAACAAACAAACAAAAAAAAAAAAAAAAGAAGGCAGATGTAAGAGGATCACCAAAAGTTTGAGGTCAGCCTGGTCTAGTTGGTGCTATGGCAGTCAGGACTATATAGTGAGACCTTGTCTTTAAAAAGCAATAAATAGGAAAAAAAAAAGCTGTAAGATGAGAAAGTTCATGCTACAGTGTGAAGAGCATGAAAGAGGATGCTTCACTTCATATGCAGTACATACAAACGAAACAGGAAAGAAACAGACCTGTGGGGAGCTGGGTCAATTCAGCATTTACATGTTTGGGCTAGAGCCGCTGTTGGCTTATAAGCATATATAAAAATGCTGTGGCCAAGTGGCACATGGTTAAAAATACACAAAGAAGTGAAGAGTTTAAATTTTAAGCAAAAGTTTCTTCAGAATTAGTCTTGATACTAATAACTGCATAAAACCCATTAAAAATTAAACTTTATGAAATTATCAAAGAGTCCTTTTGTTTAAAATGGTGATTTCAGGCACTCTGAATATTGACATTTTTCTGAAACTGTGGACAGTGACTATATCAGTGCAGCACTGTGTCTGTGCATGTGCATATATATATGTGTGTGTGCACGAGCACATGGGTGGGTGTGGCTGTGACTGTGGCTGATGCAATGTTGGATTAACCCCCAGCCTCATATATGCTAAGCAAGCCTACCTCTGAGCCACGGCCTTCCAAAGCATTATTATTCATCAAAGGTTTTCTCATTTTTTATAATTTTTAAAAATTCAAATGCTTAAATTTATGCATTTGATACCACAAGTTGTTTGGCTTGGGTATTTTTTAAGTAAGTAAAAATGAAAAGTACTTCAAGTTTAACTTGGAGAAAAAGAGTTTCTATCTGTTTTCCTTTGATTTACTTTAGCATCCTGGATAATCTAGATAGAATTGTCTTTTCTCTTTGCCAGGACCATTTTTCTCACAGTACACTGACAAGTCTACATCAAGATGTAGATGGGAAATTGGACTGGGTATAATAAGGGTAGTTTCTGAACCTTTATCCATTGTCATTCAGGTGTGGCTCTTGAAGACTGGCAGATTAAATCTAAGCATGAGAGTCTTGTACAGAATTAAGGTGGGGTACTAAGGAGTATATTAGCACAGATAGGGTAGAGAACTAAGGGGAACAGAATGTAAGGAAGGAAGTGCCTTGTCCAGTGGTGCTTACAAGCAGGTGGATCCTAAGATCACTAAATCTCAGTGCCACCAAGGCAAGCAATAGGTGTGCTGTTCATGTCATATTAATTGTGACTTTGCTTTTCCTTGACTTTGTACTACTTTCATTGAAAAATATTTAAGATACACAGTATGGTATTTTGATATATTTATTACATTGTTGTTATGTGCTAATTAACATCCATTACTTGACATAATTATGTTTTCTTTTTTGAGTATTAACTATATTTCCTGTACTATCTGTTGCTGTTTGTACATTAGATTTCTAGAACTTATTCTGCAAAACAGCAATTTGCTCTTTGATGAACACCTCACATGTCCACATGTCTTTGGTTCCTGACAACCATATTCTCTACTTCTGTATGTTTGACTTTAATCCCACATGTGGAGACTTCGCAGTCTGTCTTTCTGTGCCTGTTGTGTTTTAGTTGACATAACAAGTAAATTCACCTTGGCATAAATGTAAGCCTTAGAGTATAAGTTATATTGTATGTACTTGGATTTTTGTATCTGTACATTTGCTTGGATGTTAGAAGTATTGTGGTAAATGTAGGAGTACAGGTAGCTTTCAAGAGAATGCTTTCTATTTTTATTAATATTTCTGGAGACATAGTCTGAACTTGCTGTGCAGACCAGCCTGGCCTCTACCTCTTGTCATAAGAGATTTGTGTGCTTCTGTCTTCTGAATATCTTCTTATCAAAGATATGCATCTGGCCTTCTAAAACAAACCAAAAAAGATTTGTTTTTATTATTTTAAATTGTGTCTGTGAGAGGCTGGAGAGATGACTCGGTGGTTAGGAGTGCTTTTGTTGCTCTTACAGAGGACCCAAATATAGTTCCCAGCACCTACAATGCAGTGGCTTACAGCTATTTGTAACTGCAGTTCAGGGAGTCCAGTGCCTTCTTCTGACAACCTTGAACAGCAGACACACATGTGGTATATATGAACACATGCAGGCAGAATACTCTTGCACATAAAATAGATAAATCTTACTTTAAAAAATAATGTGTGTGTGTGTGGGTATGCTCACCTGAGTGCAGGTGCTTTCAGAGGCCAGAGGTGTCGGATTCCCTGAAGCTGGAATTGCTGCAGTTGTGAGTGGCTTGACATGGATACTGAGTATCAAACTCAGGTCTTCTGAAAGAGCAGAGCCATTCCTCAGGCCTCTTTTCAGGGAAGTGGGATTGCTGGGTCATTTGATATTTTAATTTTTATTTTCTTAGTTTAGATGCTGGTACTCAAACTCAGGGCTGTGTGTATTCTGTGCTGGGCTTCCACTGAGCTATGGCCATTGTTGTTTTTCTCTACGGGGCAAACCCTGTTTGTTCCTTGTGTTAGACAAGTCGTGTATCACTGAAATACATCCCCAGTGTCTGGCCTGCCTTTTTTGAGCTAGGGTTTAGTTCTCTCCTTTATACTGGCACTGAGTATGTAATATGGGCTGATCCCTAACTCGATGTCCTCTTGTAACACAGGCTCCTGAGTACTTGGATTATGTTCATGCTGCCAGGCCAGCTATTTTCCATTTTTTTGAGGCACTTCCATACTGCTTTCCATAAAAACCATACCAGTTTACATTTTCACTGAAAATGAAGAGAGTTCTCTCTTCCCCATTTCTTTGACAACAGTGTCTGTCCAACTTGTGATGAACCATTGTGATCTGTGTGGCATAGTGTCTCTCTGATTTTTTTTAATTTGTGTTTTATTCATGATTAGTGGTATTGAGAATATTTTCATATCCTTGTTGGGCGCTTGGATATCTCTAAAGAAATGCCTATTTAGGATCTTTACCATGTTTGTAAGATAGGTTATCTTTTGTTTTTTGTGTTTTAGATATTAACTTAATGTTATATATATATTGTTAGTAATATTTCTTCTGTTTTATAGGCTGTCTCTTCACTGTTTTGATTAGTTTTGTTGTTCACAAGCTTTTTAGTTTGACAAAACCCCATTCCTCTGTTTCTACTTGCATTGCCTGTTATGCAGTCTTATCTCTAAGATTTTCATCTACCAGATCAATATCAAGAAGCGTCCTCCATGATTTTTCTATCACCTTTGTTACTTGTGGAAGATCTGTGGCCTTCTCCATTCTGCTTCTATCTCCTCCCTGTTCTTTACTACTTCTTCCTTCCTTTCTCTTTCCTTCTCTCTCTTCTCTTCCTTCTCTGTACCCCCTCCCCTCCCCTCCCCTCC